TCACATAAAAAAATAAGGTCTCAGTCCTTGAATACTTCACATTAGGGTACATGATCTTCGAAGAACAAGATGTAGAATGGAGTAACCAAATGTCAATGAAACTAAGAGGGAAGACTGTAAGGAGTCTGAAAAACTCTTTACGTACTTTTTTTATACATAATTTGTAAGACTGAGAGAAAATCTCACTCCAACCTGGCTGTGATTCTTCATATAACTACTGACTGCCTGGCTGTTCAGAAAAAGACCTTCCAAATCAAGTGGGATCAGATGGACTGTAATGTTTAGTGAGTACCACTTCTCTTATTAAAGTGCAATTAGATCTGCTACACCAAAAGCCTAGAAATAAAGAACAACTGAAAGAAGAACATTTTCAATGAGATCATAACAGAGGACTGGACTGCCTACAAAAACAAGCTAGAGAGGCAAGAAGTTCTGTAGCTTAACATACCTGATAACATATCCAAGAAGTTATATATGACTTTTATGATATATATATTGCTACAATATACTGATAGGCCAAAGCCATCCACTTAATAAAGGCAAATTTAATGACAAGTTTTACACACACTAATTTGACTAACTCAATCCACTAAACAAACAAAGCGAGGTAGTAAAATGATCATCCCATTTCCCACAGTTCCCGACATCGTTCAGATTAAATTCTTTTGTATTAAAAATTTTATCATCATAGCAATCTGCTCTTCAGGCTTATACAGTAACAGCCTATGAGTATCTAATGAAAAATGCACCAAATTTCTTAAAAATCTCAAGAGTAACAGTAAGCTTTTGTTTTTAAGTACTTCTGCATCATGTTTAAGTTCAAAAGGGATTGTAAAAAATTCCTTTTAAAGTGGAGAAGTTGTTCTGAAGATTAATGTCACATGACCATATTTCGCAGTTATAGGACACTTTTTTAAAATCTCAGGTTAAAAGGTTCCATTATGAAATTATACATAAAATTCATGACTCTAATTCAGGACAACAATTACAACAAAAACTAGACAACAGTAAAAGAGTCTAATGGATTAAAAAAAAAAACACACAAAAACTGCTCGCAGGGAGTTAGGATGCTGAAAGCAAGAAGGAGAGCAACAGTGGTTCTTAATTTTAGGATATGCTTCATTTAAAATGATATTACAACTAGTTCGTCATTGTTTCAATGACTGACTACTCCAGAAGACTGAGCTGCAGTATGAAAACTGAAGAGATATTTCTGTTTGCTTGCCTGATGCAAAGTACTGTTCAAATCAGCTATTCTTGATTAGCAGCTTCGAAATCTCAGCCAAGAAAGACTACATGTCAAAAAGAACTGAATGCAGAAAACCCAGAACTTTCCTAGTTAGGTGAAGTATAAAGTGGACTTCCTATGGACTTGCTTGGCTGATAACATACTTCAAACCCTCAACTTTCAGTTCTAAAAATAAAACCAAATCCTTCTAGAATTGAAGTACCAAAACAAGCCTCATCTCCTTCATGCTCTAAAAATCATGCCAGCCTTTTCTTTTTCACTCTCATTTTTACCAGTCTTAGAAAGATTACAGAAATAGTGCAAGTTAGCCCCTGTTTACTGCTAACAGCTTACCAACAATACAGAAAATAGGCAGATCTAAATCTGAACAGCACTGTCACACACATGCTATCTTTTGCCTTTTAATCTTGCAACCACAGGAGATATGAATAGCATAGAGAATTTTTTAGGGTGTGCTGCTACAAAGAGAATCACAAATATACACATGGACCTGTGAGAAAAGCAATTTTAGTTAGTCTCTTTCACCACATGCTGCAGTAATTCAAATGTGCTGTCACTTAAATCCAGGCATACAATTCATTACCACTACTCAGCTGAGGATGCTTAAGAAACTGCTGTAATGACTCTGCTTTTGAGCTGTTTCAGAGAAGTGTTTCAGTGACTACCTGCATCTTCTGCAGTCTAATGCCAAAGCATTAGGTGTATCTAGTTTAGTTATGATGAATTTTCCTGAAGATAGTTGATTATGATGATAAACATATAAGCACATCACATACCAGCTATTACTAAGATTTCAGCAGTTCTCTACTACACTTGGTAGTTCCACAGCTCTGGGATATTCCTTGGGTTAGAAGAAACTTCTACACAGAGGAATGGGATAATGGAGAGCTTCTGTCTTTGTTATCAATGAAAAGATATTGAGAAAACAATTGGTAGAAACGGTACTGCTTAGCTTTCTCCTAGACAGAATAGAAATGAAAAGTTTAGGTATGTTCAAGGTGTTTATGGCCAACTTACTGTCCAAGGACTTTGCTAACAACAGGTACTAAACAGAAGAGAGATATTCATGGTTTAGGCATCAGGGTACACTGTCTTACTTGACGCTCTTCCCAATTCTTCATGTTCATCCAAGGTCATCACATGGATGAGCACATAGTGACCTTTTCCATTTACATAATAAATAAGCTTCCCAGATAAAGAGAGATCTTAATTAATATAAATGAGACTTTTTTTAAAGCTAAAGAGAAATGCAAATAAAGATGCTTAAGAACCAAATCAAAGAATTTTGAGCCAAGTTAAACATGCCTTGCCTTTTTCACTCCTGTATTTTCTCCTCTTTATGTGCAACATCTTAAGAAGTATAATTTTCATTTCAACAATCAACTGCAACTTCCTAAATTTTCAGTGAAGTCTGATTAAGACACTTCAAATCTGCTTTTGTAATCTAAAACTATAAATTTGGGGCAGTTAAAGTCTCTGTTCAAACATGCCCAATTCTATGAACCAGAACTTACAATATGTCTGCCTCAGTATGTATATTATTCAGAATGATTTATATCTTCAGAATCTGAACCACTGGAAAGAAGAAAAGGTTTCTACCTTCAAGCTTAAATATCCAAGGTTCAATGAGGCTGAGAGCCAGTTGGGAACACTTCCCTCACAGAGGGTTTTCCAGAATTTCCCCTGCTTCATGCACCAAACGGCCACACAATAAATGAACATGGGAAGGCTGTTGAAACGGTGATATATGGCAAGATTCTACATTTGTGACTCCCAAGTGAGAACACTAAATTAAGAAAATTACTCCTCTCAGAGTTGCGAACTCTTCCTCAGAGCTGCAAACAGCACAATATGGTAAAAGGGGACAGACACTTCCTTAAGAACATGAACAGGGTTCTCAGCAGAAGTGAAGGTGTGCTACATTATCATAGAAAACAGCAGCAGCATCTAGAGCCCTCCACTCCCACCAAAAGCAGTGGAACATGTCACACACTGAGGACAAAGAACCACAAAAGCTGTTTCAATGTCCAGTGAATTAGCAGCAGATCAACTTACTGAAACCCAACTAAGCCTTGATTTACAAAGTAAAACTAGTGAAAAGCAGATTTTGCAGTTTGCTGCAGAAGAGCTACTACAGAGCAGCTTCAGCTGAAACAGGAGCAGTGTGCTCAGGATTCTACACAAATAGTAAATGCCTAATGTACGAGGTGAAAGGACATTCTGGTGGAGTAAAATAGATACAGGCAATGTTTCTGAAATGACTGAAAGATTTGGAGCCCTGACATTTCAACTGCTTATATTAAATATTTTTTCAACAAAATGGTCATAAAAATATTTCCACGAGCATAAAGAAAGCCCAAAGAGTTTCAGAAGTCCTGAGTACAGATTATTCTCACCTCTAGCTGCAAGTACCAAGGAGTAGAATTTTTTTAACAATACGTGTGGAGTACTTACCCAGAAAAACAATGCTTAGGTATTCAATTAGTTTAGCACAAACCAGAAAATGAAGCTAGAAAAACTGCCTCATATTAATCGTAGATAAATACAAGCCTAATAAAGCTGTGCTGTCGAAAAGAGAAAATGAGACAAAAGTTCTTAAGAGTGAAATTCTGAGGTTTTTTTTACAAAAAATATTTCTTAAACATTTCTGAACATCTTTGAAAAAGAAAGGCAGAAACTGAACAACAAAAAGTGGATTGTATTTAAGTGTATTTGTATAAGCATCGGAGAAAAAAAGTCACACTAGTTAACGTTACATGCTGTAGTCCTTAACACTGAACTTCCATCTTTTCCATCTGCAGAATGCAAAGAATTTCAAAGCTTCCATTTAGAAAGGTGAATACTCAAAGGCTATGGCAGCGAAGTGTTGGTATATCTCACACCACCAGATTAAAGTTTTCCTACTCCAATTTACTGCCCATTCTACTTTTTCCATGGGTTCCAGTAGCAGCACACAGCAGAAGGCACTGAAGAAGGTGGGCTTGACCTGCTGTTTCCAAATCAGAATCCATTCCCCTGTAGGTTGATTCAGCAGTCCTCAGGAGATACAGCAATACACTGAACTGAAGCAATTGAGATATGCCAATATATCCCTGAAATTGCTCATAAATAAAAAGAGTAGGTCAAAACCGGAACTGCACTGCTTTAAACTGCCACAAGTTTGTCAAAGGACTGGAAATAGACTGAATTGGGGCAAATTAAATTCCTCTGGCAAGTTAGCATCAATGTTTTGCATCTCGCTCAATGCTAAGAACTTGGACAAAAATGCAAACCCAGTCCATCATTCAAGGCTAAACACTTACTCCTCGTCTGAGGTAAGAACACATTCTCAGTCCACACAATTATAAAACAGAAATTGTACAGCCTAATGTTAATGCATTTTCCTGTGTGACTGCATGCACAGCCTTATCCTACTGTGGTCACTTTCTGTACTTTATTTAAGAGCTAAGAGCTACTTACTTTTTCATGCCTCAACCTAATTCCAGAAAAACAAGGCATCAGAAGGGAACCTGAACTTGTAGTCCTTAAATTGAGATTTTTACTTTTGGTTTCTACAAAATGATCTCTTCTGAAGAGGGCAAATCTCTACATTTTCTTTTGCTGTACACTAAGAAAGCAAGATTACACTGATGACATAAGCGGTTTCTCAACTTTTAACTACAGTTTGCATTCATATTAGAAAATAGAAATAAAATTAGTGTTCAACTTCTAGAGCTTTTCTGTACAAGCAAAACAATAAGGAAAAGGATATTTTCCTGGATCTGCAATACCCACTCTGTAGTCCACGTAACTTTGATAGGGATGGAAGTTGAAAACAAATAGGAGACCAGCTCTCTCAAATGCTATGACTTTGTTGGCTTCATGTTTTTCACTCACATAGGCCTAGGAAAGAAAAATAAAAATAAAAATCAACTTTATAAAATAGTTAATTTCTAACTGAATTAATAAGGAAAAAAACACCACCACTATTTCTATACTTCAAGTAAAACAAAGATTCAAGCAACATAAAGGCATTAACATGCAAACTGAAATTGTTTACCTATGTAATGTCACATAATATTTTTGATTACTAAACTATAGCTTACTTGTTACAAGGTAATGTAAAATTAAAGAGGAAGAAGCATGTTCAGTATACAGCACATGAAAAATTCCTGCTCAATATTTGTATGGTGGTCTTTTCATCACACTTGAGCAAAAAATGGATTCCTTTTATCATATCGAATCTTCCGATATACTTGTTATGGGGATCTGCACTACATCTACTGTTAGTAATGTAGAAAATGAAGCACTGGGTATGAGGGCTTTGTTTGGTTTTTAAATCTGTGTGAGAGATGCCTTTGATAAGCCACATTAAACTGCTGCACATACCACCTTTGTTCTATTCACAAAAGCTATTAACAAATAACTAGACATCAATTTAAAAAGTTCTTGCAAGTGAATTATGACTAGTATGAAATAATTAAACTGAGAAATTGTAATAATTGAGCTGCTTTTATAAAAAGTACAGTGCAGCATGTGGGCAAAAAAGGGAAACACAAAAGTGACAGTTTGAAGACCAAGAGAGTGTAAGTTACACTGTACTGAAAGTGCTTTCTCAGTAACCGAGTATTTATTTATATGAAGCAAATAGTCAGAACAATTTATGCTTTATCAAAGCAATCCCTGGATTGGATTACAGACAAATTTATAGTCTGTTTTATCCGATCCTCAGTTACTAAATAAAAACAGCAAAAATAATAGGAAAAGAGCCTTCTATGAAGCTAAAAGGAGACTTGCTTCAGATTTCTATTATCTGTGGAAGATATTTCAGTTACATATTTTGACAACTTGAAATATACGGTTGGGCATTACATAGTGCATAATAAAGTGCTGTATAAAATTTCTGCATGCAAATTTGGTATTGTTATTCTGAACATGTAGGTAGCTGGTGACTAAAAACTTACCATTTAGTATTTATAGCTTACCGGGGGAGATGCAAGCCATCCAAACCTTTCCTCCAATTTATTCATATCTCTATCAAATGCATTTAGGAATCTATAGCGAAGAAGATGATCCTCAGTAAGATTAAACTGTCTTCTGGCATAGTGGTAGCTCTCATTGTTCCCTATTCTGGGGAAGTCAAGCCATTCTGGATGTCCAAATTCATTACCTGCAGTTAAAAATATACAGGATCCATAAATTCACATGCTAAAAGTACACTAAAACTGCAAAATTAAAATACATGAAAATATATTTTCTTTCTGCAAGTTTTAAATTCCAAAGAATAATTCCGGATATATAAATTGGTCATTTTTTTATTAAAATATCTCTCTAAACTTTCACGCTTGCTAACAGGTTTGTTTGGCCAATAAAACTACCACAGTAAAATATTCGTGGACTGCAGGGGAAGTATAAAAGTGGTAAATGAATTAGAACCTCTATGCTACCATGCCACGCCAAAAATATTTTCATTCCCACCCATTAATAACAGCAGCAGAAACTGAGTCACCCAAGGTACAAATTTTAGAGTCATTAAAAAACCTAAAACCATCACTTTATCAGTAGATACCCAGTGGTTTTGAGCATTTAACAGAACCAGAGTTACCACTCACAGAGAAATTTCTCTTTTTATCAATTAAACTTCAAACAATCAAAAGACCAGTTGGCTGAACTTCAATCACTTTTTATGCTGGCTATAAGTGCCATTGTCATTGTTTCCAATGGCATAAAAATAACTATTCAAAAGGATTACTTGAATTTCAGTTCTTCACTTCTGAGAAAAATTCAAAAAGGCATCTTAGTTCAAGTAGCAGGCTAGATCACAGAGAGTAAAGCAGGATGGTTAATGATGATGCATTCAGTAACTGATACTGAAAACAAGTGACTTAAAGGGTGCGACAACCCAGGGATCTAACAGTATATGTCAATTCAGCGACCTTGCAAGGGGAGCTCCTTTCCCAGACATAATACTCAGTGGCATAAGCATCAGGGACACATTTCAGGCTGGGATGAAGCATGTTTTGAGCACAGGGTTCCTCTGTGTGGCCAGAGGTTCATGCTCCTTTGCTTGCCTGTAGATGCCATTGTATTGCAATGTGGTTTTTATAGAACTGTAATGCTTCACAAGTTTGCCAGTCTCATACTAGCCCACACAACTACTGAATACATATTAAGACAAGGAATAGGTTTATTCAGATTTGGATCACACTCCAGTAAAAACAAGTAGGGAAAAAGATGTAATTTAATCAAGAAAAAGCTTAGTTTCACTTACAGAAGAAAATCTCAGCTGTGAAAGCTGCAGATTCAAAGAACCCCCTCCTTTGGGACTCAGTATTTTAAATTACTTCCATACATCTAAACATGTCTTGTTTTATATACTGCCATTATTACAGTTTGAGACAAATCCAAGCAGGCTTAATGGTTATAACTCGCACTATAACATGCCACTTAACATACTCTCAGTCATTTTGGGCTATTCATTCTACACAGGATTAAAAAGGGTTAAGTACCTTGAAAGTTAAACGTTTCAAACCCTGCAATAGTTGATTCATCACAGACATTACATAGAGATTACACAGAACACATATGCACCGTAAAACAGAGACAACAAGCGCTGTACCTGGAAGTATGTAGGGGAGGTAATGTGATAAAATTGAAGAGGGTTTCTAATTTAAAAACAAAATGATTCTGACCATTTCTACATTTCTGACCATTTACTCAATTTTTGTCAATAAACTGGAGTTTGCAGGCAGATGAAGGGACAAGGATGCTGAGAGAAGGCAAGCGTTGTTTCCTGGATGGACACCCTGCATGTGCAGCCACCTCCTGCTGACTTGCTGCCTGAAAAGCCTGGAGGATATGGTCAGCAGCGACAGCTATGAATTTGAAGTGACTTTTGTGTATTTCCATGCTTCACAGGAGCAAAGAAATAAACAGAGAACAAAACAGAAAGGCTGAATACATATTAAGGAGAACCCTTCACAGCAGTGTCCATTTTCAGGAGAATCCTTCACAGCGTATCCGTTTTGTAAACACCCTGACAAGTTGTAAATTAAATTTCCCGTTCAAAAGATGAATCACTAAATTTCATATTCAGCTCAAAAGCAGAAACAAATATAAAAGAATCAGAGTCACAGCAGGACTCTGAAAATGACCTTGGAATAATGCTGGACTTCAGCTCTTAAACTGCGCTAACCATACAGCAGGGAAAATGAGAGAAGATACTGCTACAGACAGACACTGTATCTAACCAATTCAACAGCCTCTTTAAGAGCTGGGAAAAGTATACTTTCTTTTGTGATCTGCACACTATTGAAAAGACAGACTACATGAGATAGTTCAGTTAAACATAGCAAAAAACATCAGAAAGTCAGAGATATGTATCTCAAAAAGACAGCCAAGGAAACTGTACTTATTAGGTAGGAAAAACAGAAAACCAGGGAAAATAAGCAATACAAGATAGTGAATAAATTAGACTAAAATAGCTCATCATTTCAATAGAGTATTTCACTGTTAAACAGGGGAAGTTTAGACTGGATATAAGGAAGAAGTTCTTTACTGTAAGGGTGGTGAGGCACTGGAATGGATTGCCCAGGGAAGCTGTGAATGCTCCAGCCCTGCCAGTGTTCAAAGTCAGGTTGGACAGAGCCTTGGGTGACATGGCTTAGTGTTAGGTGTCCCTGTCCATGGCAGGGGGGGTGGAACTAGATGATCTTAAGGTCCTTTCCAACCCTAACTATTCTATGGTTCTATAATATCTCCTTTGTGTTCATACCGTGTACCAACTGCCCTGTCTCCGCTTGCTTTGCCTGTTTCTGCACCAGTTGTTTGAATGCTGTATTTTGTTGGATGTTTGTCTGTCTCTTTAAGGAACAACAGAAGTGCAGCAAAACACAGAAGCAATGTAATTTATTGTTCTAGCCATTGCTGCTGTTCATTAAGAAAAAAAAGGAATTTAACATAGTGCAGCAGGTAGATCGAAGACTAAATTATTTGCTGATGTCTAAAAAGCACGTTGACAGTCTAAACACCAACTGCTTGCCTTCAAACAACTTTATACGGGCATCTTCTGCACAACACACTCATGAGCTTTTTGTATGTGCTGCTTGATTTTAAAAGGGTCCCTTCATTTCTCTTTCAAAAAAGGAAAAGATGAGTTCATAAATACTGACAGAACAAAGCTAAGGAGGTATCTTTGGTTATGTTTTTAAGATGTGGCAGAGGGAAAAGGAACTAGGACTTAGGATGCAAGCAGGCCTTCTGATAAACTCCAGAGTGTGCTTTGCACACATAAGGCTATGCATCTTTTAACAAAACCACACGTCACTAATTTTTTTTTCCCTTAATTGCTATTGTTTCCTAATCTAACTTCACAACAATTGAGGGGCAGGCCTAGGAAAAGGAAGGTACCAGTAGCTGACCAACACTTATTTCAAAAGATAACTAATGGTACCCATGAAGCATCTGCTGCCTCCTTCCCCATGTTCAACTTCACACTTCTGACAAGAATCAGCAACATTCGTTTCTTGATAACTGCGAAAGCCTCTAAACATAGTAGTACTATTGGGATTTCTTTTCCTGCAATTAATTTGCTGTTTGATGTAAAGGTCCAAACTACAGATTGACAAGAATCCAGCTGCTACGAATGATGCAAATCAAGACAATGGAACTAATGTGGAGGAGAACAAAGCTGAAATTAACTGAAATTTTGATCAGAGAAACAAAACAAAGACAACTCATGGAAGTGCAATGCATACTAATTTTATCTAGGAATTAACTCGTTTGTTATTTCCTACATATGGCACATATTGGACAACTTCACTTTACTATGTACAAGATTTGAAGATCACAATTCCAACAAATAAATTAACTTCCTACTGCTATAATGAAGATTTACATCACACTTGTTTATTAGGCTAGAAATGCATTTATACTGCAAAGTAGTTAGGCTGATGATGACAGCTTTGAAGCTGCACCCCACAGGTCATGAAAGTTTTCTTGATCTCTCTTCTTTAGACATCTCTACTAGCAATTCTCTCTCAAGAAATTAGGCTAAGCAGAACTGAAAGCACATTTAAAAGATGCAGCAGGCAGTGTCAAGAGATGTCTGTTATTTTGTTCTGTTTGCATTTTGAATTAAGTATGACATTAAATACTTTAAAAGCAGTTAAAGCAAGTAGTTTATTTTATACATCAAAGGTAAGAAGTTTAATTTGGTGTATAAGGCTGAACAAGTTTTTAAATGATCTAAAATACTACGAAAAGACCCTGTTTAACACTGATGACTGGGGACTGGACACATTGGGACAATGTTTCAACAGTTCCGCCTTAACGTATTTCTAACAAAATAAGTAACATTACACCAATTTACACCACCCAGATAACCAACTCATCCAGGAGTTGTAACTGATTTGAATTTAACTTCACTACTTTTGAGAGCAATGATGACAATGCAACAATCATAGAATCACAGAATAGTTAAGGTTGGAAAGGACCTTTAGATCATTCAGTTTCAACCCCCCTGCCATGGGGAGGGACACCTCACACTAAACCATCTCACCCACGGCTTCGTCCAACCTGGTCTTGAACACTGGCAGGGATGGAGCATTCACAACTTCCCTGGGCAACCCATTCCAGTGCTTCACCACCCTAGCAGGACAGAATTTCTTCCTAATATCCAATCTAAACTTCCCTGTTTAAATTTTAACCTGTTACCCCTTGTCCTGTCACTATAGTCCCTAAAGAAGAGTCCCTCCCAGGCATCCCTATAGGCCCCCTTCAGATCCTGGAAGGCTGCTCTGAGGTCTCCACACAGCCTCCTCTTCTCCAGGCTGAACAGCCCCAACTTTCTCAGCCTAAATAATAATATAATCTGTTTATAATCTGCAGATTATAAACAGAATCAATGTTAAGTCAGATCTAGCTAGCACATATTTCTTGTTATTTCAAAAATATGAATATTTCAAAGAATTAATCCTCCTTTACCCTAGTTGCGAAAGTTTTTGGATATTGAGCAATTTTGATACTTTGTATTTACTCATGTTTGTACCAGATATTCTTCTTAACATTCATACTACTAAAAACAAGTAAGAAGCAATACTGCCTTTAAATTACGAGAGGATGATCTTCATTACAAGCTTTTATTTAATTTTGTCATCAGTACAACAAATA